TGAAAAAAGCAACCCTTGAAACCTAAAGCAACAAAATAGGATAAATTTAAAAGAGTTTAATGCTTTTTTTTCCTCCGACAAATGCATAACTTGTCTTAACCATCCCAACAATGATTCCAAATTGATCCTCTTAATCCTATTTAATACATGATTTAACGAAACAGAGTAGCATAATCAACAAGCCAATGGGTCAATAGTTTCAAATCCTCAACTACATACCATCAAGGAAATAAGAGTTATAGTAGGAGGATAAAAAAATCATCGCTTGTTGTAGATAACATCCCACCCAAAAAAAAGCAACTCTTGAAACCTAAAAGCAACGAAATACGATAAATTTCAAGAGTTTAATGCCTTTTTTTCCTCTGATAAATGCATAATTTCTCTAACCTTCCCACCAATAATTCCAAATTGATCCTCTTAATCTTATTTCATGATTGCTTAAACAAAGAAGCATAATCAACAAGCAAATGGGTCAATAGTTTCAAATCCTCAACTACATATAACCCAACCATCAAGTAAATAAGAGTTATAGTAGGAGGATAAGAAAATTATTGCTTGTTGAGATAATATCCCACTCGAAAAAAGCAACTCTTGAAACCTAAAGCAACGAAATAGGATAAATTTAAAAGAGTTTAATGCTTTTTTTCCTACGACAAATGCATAACTTGTCTTAACCATCCCACCAATGATTCCAAATTGATCCTCTTAATCCTATTTCATGATTGCTTTAATGAAACAAAGGAGCATAATCAACAAGCCAATGGGTCAATAGTTTCAAATCCTCAACTACATATAACCATACCATCAAGTAAATAAGAGTTATAGTAGGAGGATAAAAAAATCATCGCTTGTTGTAGATAATATCTCACTCGAAAAAGCAACCCTTGAAACATAAAGCAACAAAATAGGATAAATTGGAAAGAGTTTAATGCTTCTTTGTTCTCCCACAAATGCATAATTTGTCTTAACCATCCCACCAATGATTCCAAATCAATCCTCTTAATCCTATTTCATGATTGCTTTAATGAGACAAATGAGCATAATCAACAAACCAATTGGTCAATAGTTTCAAATCCTCAACTACATATAACCCAACCATCAAGTAAATAAGAGTTATAGTACGAGGATGAGAAAATTATCACTTGTGTTAGATAATATCCCACATTCCCACTTGAAAAAAGCAACCATTGAAACTTAGAGCAAACAAATAGGATAAATTGAAAAGAGTTTGTCTTAACCATCTGATCCTCTTAATCCTATTTCATTATTGTTTTAATGAGACAAATGAGCATAATCAACAAGCTAACTGGTCAATAGTTTCAAATCCTTAACTTTATATAACCCAACCATCAAAGTAAATAAGAGTTGTAGATAATATCCCACTAGAAAAAAAAGCTACCCTTGAAACTTAGAGCAAAGAAATATGATAAATTGAAAAGATCTTAATGTTATTTTTCCTCCCACAAATGCATAGTTTGTCTTAACCATCCCACCAATGATTCCAAATCGATCCTCTTAAACCTCTTTCATGATTGCTTTAATGGAACAAAGGAGCATTAATCAACAAACCAATGGGTCAATAGTTTCAAATCTTCAACTACATATAACCCAACCATCAAGTAAATAAGAGTTATAGTAGGAGGATAAAAAAATTATCGCTTGTTGTAGATAGTATCTCACTCGAAAAAAGCAACCCTTGAAACTTTAAGCAAAGAAATATGATACTTTGAAAAGAGTTTAATGCTGGAAGTTTTATCGAGAACATTAGTCCAACTATGATTCCATCCAATATTCTCAAAACATTAAGTAACAGTTAGCATTTCCACTGAACTATCATGTCATCAATCAAAAAAATAAATAATTTGGGTTTCGTTCTAACAAATCTAGCAGGATGCAAGGGACCACCAAAACGAAAATCCCATATTATCACAATGGGCATGTATAAAGCAATCCAATGTTGCACAGAATCCGACCATGCATGACAAAACAATCATCTAAATTCGAAACAAGATAGTCAACTCCTAGATTTGAAATTGCCAAAAAACTTTAGTGATAAGACACATCAAYAGAGAGGATTACGTGCTATAGGATCTTAAAGATACCAAAAATCATTTAAAATTTTCAATAATATAATAGACTGAAACAGTACTATGCGAGCTCTTCCTATTTCAAGAACAACTTTCGAACATACGTTGTGCTTCACGGATTGTTGCTCTACCCCGAATTTAACAGATCATGAGATCGTTTGAAAGAAAGGCGACTCGAAACAAAAGGACGAAAAATCAATCCAGAGAAACTACCGAATAAACCCCACCAACAAGTTTCGCATGTATACACCCTACCGAATTAAACATAAATCCATGAACAAAATCACCATGCATTCAAAGACTATCTATATTCCCATTCGAACTTATAATGAATCGACGAAATTCACGCCAATACGTATCAACAAACGCAACAGTAATAATAGTGAACGGGGAAAAATACCTCCAAAACAGAAGATCGATGATGAGTAAGAGAGGTAAGGCACGGGACACGATATCCCATTTTAGACTACGGAGATTTCAATAATCTTCTCGACTTTTACCCGTTCATAAGAAGAGGAAGAAAGAAAAGGGATGAGACTGGGAGAGAAAGGACCAGAGGAAACCCTAAATCTCATCGCCATGTTTTTTGGTTTTCTTGCATCGCAAGCTCCAACGGTTTTTTCTTTTTTTTCTGGACATTATAACGCTCTCTTTCTTGATTTTCCCTTTTTGCCCCTGCCACTTTTCGCTCACTAACAGAGTTGAAATTTGAAAGTACCCTCACACGCTCCACCTCCACGTCAAAGCCGTTTATTATTCTTTTTTTTTTATTTGTATTTTTTAGAAAAAAAAAAGTCCTTTAATTTTTACTTTTTATTTTTTGTGTTCTTACTTACTGTCGGGGTTCAGCCGTTTAAATCGAAAACATTTTCGAGTTTTCGGGTATATACTTTTTAAATATTACATTACGACATCGTTTATTATGAGTTTTTTTTTTTTTTTAGTACAGGAGATTATTTTCTTTAGTATCCAAAATAAATTTAATTGCTACTTCTTGCAATGAGGGTACATGAGAAAGGGAAGCTTCTTCAAAACTAATTTTCACAGTAAATTTTTACTCTCGTTCGACTTTAGACTTTGTGTAAATATTGCAGTATTTATTTTTTGTTCGGTACATTTATTTACCTTTTTTTTGGTGCATTTATTTGCCAATTTCAACCGAACGAAAACAACATAAAATCTACCCAAATGTACTAATATATATAATTAAACATGACTTAAAATTAGACATTACTTAGAATTAAACTTTGTCACTTTACCATTAAATTGATCTCTCAAACTTACCAATTTGAACAAAAGTTATCCATTAATTTTGTATTGGTCTCTATTTTGTAATTTAAATTTATTTGGTCAAATGTTTAAGGCTGTAATTAATAAAATTTATTTTGATGAAACTGTAAAATTAGGTCAATATTGACACAACCTTTGTTATTTGAAATTGAAATCGTTTCAAAATACTTAATTTGTCTTATTAATTAAATTAACAAATCTCTTCCAATTAAACTATACATATCGAGCATTGTCATATAGTCTCTCGTGAATGTTGTTTGTGTCTATATCCAAAATAATGTAGTATTGTAGATTGATTTTGTTTGTATTGATTTCATGATTGGTTCATCTGTGATGTCTACTAGTTGCCTATTTCTATGAGTAGAAAATAGCGAATACGTAATGACGTTGGTGAGAGGAAATATCATTAGTCACATTAGTTACATTTTGCATTTGCTATCGCTTTTTGGAGTTGAAAACTCGATACGAATACTTTATTTGTCATATATAATTTCATATTCTACTATTTAGATTAACAATTATGATAATTATACGACACAAATATTATGAGATGTATGAAATATATGACTTTCTATCTATCGATCATGTCACATAGATTCGAATCGGACATCCATGATGACCCTTCACTAAGTTATGCAACTTGTTTGTTATCTTAAGAAATATGAATTACTCATTTAAGTTTGTTATATATATTTTATCTTAATTATTTATCAATACATCAATATTAAAAGTCAACAGTAACAAATTATTTTATTTTTCTTGTCAGTAAAATCTCAACAAAAGCAACAAAATATAATTATATTAATTACAATAAATAAATATATTAATTATTTAAATCAAGAGAAACAATTAAAGTAATTTGTTTGAAATTTCACGTCATAAGATTTAAAATTAATATTAATGATTTTGAACTCAAGTTCTTGGTGCCAAAATTTCGTCGAATTGAGTTGGTTAGATCTAGTGAGTTTACAACGTCGATCACTTTGCAGGGTATCTATAGTCAATCAAACTCAACACTGGTGCGATGATTGTCATAACATCATTTGATGTCTAAGTCCATCCATTAGAGTGAATATGGTAGGAGGGCAAGAGATTTAGTCGTTAGAAGTTAGTGTACTTCTCGGAAAAGCTTTTTTCCTCATTTTACGGTGGAAAGATACTTGATGACGTGTATCTCTTGAATCAAGACCGTACAATCGTCTTGTGTGGTAATCGATGGACATTGCAGATTGCTAAACAGTGCAAGGTCCTTCGCCACTATTTGGCATTTGGCTAAAGACCATCGACGTTCTAATACAAACAATTATACTCCTGACTTGACTACATAGGTATTAATCCCTCGTGATTCCTTATGATTAGGTGGATCACAAAGCCTACATGGCCTCACGAGGGTGACCACGTGGCAGGAAAGAGCTTACTCATACGCCAAACTCAGGTAAATCATTTCACAGGAGAAAATTATATATATACAAGAGCCAAGCTAAGATGATTTCTTAACTTGCAATGCAACTAGTTGCGGGAAATAAAAAGAAAAACCTTTGCACAAAAAATAAAATAAAATAAGGGAAAAAAAAGAAGAAACAATAATAATAAAAATAAGAACAATAACCACGTATCAAAATGCTCACCGACTACGCGAAATCAAGTTGAGGTCAAATTTCTCCAGCGAATTGGGAAAAAAAAGCCGGTTCTGTCGCCTCCTTCCCAATACTCCATATCCCTCGAAGCCCTGCTTCCCAATTCATCTTTCCCGGCGGAAGGGTTCGATTTTCTTGGCGAAGATGTTGAGGATTGCGGTTCGAAGGATTTCTTCACTCTCTTCTTCCCATTTTAGACCCACTATTGTCTCTTCCTTGCCCGGTTCTCAGAAGATCATCGATGCCGGCGATTCCGCCACTTCCAATGATTTCACATCCGGCGGCTTCATCAACACCTTCCATTTCGGGCATCACTTTGATCGCAGCTGTAGAGGTTAGAGTTTGCGTCTTATTCCCTGAATTTTTTTGTTTTTCCTGCCCGTAGTCCCTTTTAGGGTTTGTTTTTAATTGGGATGCGATACCTTTCGTTTAATTACGCTGTTCGAAAGGTCAATCCTTATTCAGTATCTGACTTGCAGTTCCGTCACTTGCTTGTGTTGCTTAATCGTGTATACCCATAGATGGGTATCGGTATTCAGCTTTATTGATCTGCTGTTCGGTTGAATTGATCAGGTTGAATCATGTTTCTGATATTAATTTGTCATTGTGAAAACAATGTGAAGGCGGGAAAGTTGTTTGCGGGTTGTAGTTTTGGGGCATATTACTTGGCCGAAGCAACATCGTTTCTTTTCGAAGTCTTTAACTTGTTATTTCCATCATGTTTGCATACTGGGTTATCATTCATTCATGTGAAAATGTGAAAAGTTATTTACAGGCTGTATTTTTGCAGTAAGCAATACAACGATATCTCTTCGCCGACGCAATCCCTTCTTCGTTTATTTCTGAATCTCCCACCGTTCCTTTCCAAAAAATTTAACTTTATTTCTGGTGGTTTTACATTATTATCACCCAAAACTATATGCCGTTATTCATATCATATATAGCTGAGACTTGTACCTCTCTCCGCCTCTTTTGAAATTATTTATTTTTTCGATTGGTTGTATTGCTTTGGTGGAGATACATCTTGAACTGAGACATTGATGTTACGAATGGTACAAGGTTTTGGTATAATTTGATTTGGTTGCTCTGTCTTGATTTACTTGTTCTCCTCATTTATTTATTTATGATTCTTCCCTTTTCTTTGCATTGAGATGTATGATCTACAGATCAGTGGCCCATTCTAGAAGTTTAAGTGCGAGAGTTATATTTCTTTCTTTTCTAATGGAGGTTAAAATTATTCAGTTTAAGGTTTTCCGATTACTGTACTGATATAATTCAGTGACCTAATTCATTTTAAATAGTCACCAAATCTTGATCAACGGATGTTATACAGCAGCAGTGATTGGGGTATACTTCATTTTTGTTTAGTAGAGTTGTTATTTTCCGTACTAATAGAGTTCAGTGCACTAATTCACTTTAAACTCTTGCAAAATCTTGATCAACGGATGTTATGCAGCAGCAGTGATTTGGGGGCAGTTCATTGTTGTTGATAGAGTATAGTTGTTATCTACAAAGATTAAGCAATTGTCTTTTCCATTTGGGTTGTTTCTTTTTTGTTTCTGTCCCAAAGAAAAAAACAATACAAATAAGCCTTGAATATTTGAGAATTTAGACACCTAAAAAGAGGCATTGGCCATAAACACCTAAAATGAGGCATTTCAATAGTCCAGGCCCTTATTTGCCATATAGTAGAATAGAACGATGGGAAGAAAATAGATGAAAGTTTGCTCTCCGAGAACAAGTGATTCAAGGTATGTTGTTGCTGTTCTAGATAGACAGAGACTCGAGACTCAGTAGGGAGAAAATAGAAGAGTTGACAGCTATTAAAAAGAAGAAATGAAATCAGCTCTAACAATAGGAGTTTCTCTAGGTCTGATTGGGGAGAGCTTAAACGTAATCCTAGCTTTTAGTCACCCTAATTATCCCAATTCTAAAGGCTTCTCTTATTTCTTGAGCCAAATGTTCCATAAGTTGCAAAGGGTGGCTCACCAGTGGGTCCCCCTTGTCCTAAAATAGTGGATTGTTTAACACCTCCTTCATCATTGAGCTCCTTGTCCTGAAATAGCGGGTTGTATGGTACCTCTTTCACCATCCGACAATATGATCTGTAATGATAACGAGACAAAGTCCTCTCCCAGAAACTTAGTTATTACTAAAGTAGTTGAAACATGTTTGTCCATTCTGTAAAGATGGATTTGTTGAGGCAGCAGATGGGTGTGTGGCTGAGAAGGATTTGGGGAGCCGTTGCTTTGGGGGGATCGAGCTTAGGGCCAAGTCTCTTTGCTCTTTAATGTCTGTCTTATCAGAGCAGCATCGCCTCCGCCATCTTGAGAAACTTAGTTATTACCATCGAAGTTAAAAATCATCTCCTTATCTTCCCAACATGGAAGAGCCTCTAACCTTTCCCTATCCTTATCTAGAATGGGATGCCAATCTAAACCCTTCACAAACCTAGAGAAAACAGAAAGGGGATTGAAGAAAGTGGAGGAAGACAAGTTTTCCCCCTTAATTGCTCTGTCCGCACTCCCTTAAAAGAGACTCAGTGGCGTTATTATTTCTTTCAAAGCTTGCAACTTCATGGGAGGACGAATTATTACAATCTCCCTCTCTCACATGACCCACGACCCATTTGACCTTAGAAAAACAGATATTCTCCCTTCCAACTAACTCAAACTCCCCTTACCCCTGTACCTTTTACTTGAATCATTGAATGGAATAATGAAGAAATGATCATACTCCTAGAAAAATTGCACCCTGTAATCTGTTATCCATAAAGAAAAGATAATTGTTTATGAAGCTTCGAACTTACTGCACAGAAAGATGTCAAGACTTTAATGCTATTCATAGGTCATGATGACTGAACTCATTCAAACTTAACATAGTAAATCATTAAATTTCGTACCAATAATATGGCAACATAAATTCGTGTAAGAATAATTCATAATGATTCTTATTTTGCTACCTTGAGAGCCAATCTTTGTACATATTGAAATTACACGAATAAGAAACAACCAATTCATATCAAATTTTATTAAGATGCTCAAACTACTCAAATCACACCATTTTCAAATGTGGTAACTACTGTTGTCTCGTATTCACTATTGCAATTATGAATGGCCATTGTGACCGAATTTTTTGGTTCTGGACATTTATTCTTATCTCTTTTTTATGCACGTAGCTACTTGTGCTGTTGTACTTCTAAGTTCAAATTGTTGTTGACTTTTGATAATCAAATATTATAGTAAATCAGTATCTGCTCTTTATGCATGTAACTGATTACAAAGTTCTACTCCCTAACTTTGTATGGAAGTAACCAACAGAAATATTGGCCAGGAATTTGTTAGCACTCTGGAAACAGTTTAGATGCCTGCTTTTAACTTTTTCCCTGGAAAATGTGTACTGGCATGTTATAATTGGTTTTGTATTTGTTACTAGTTAAGCAGAAAAATGGCTTTGAAACTGAATGGTTTAAACTCCGACTTTAGCAATTGTTTAAATGGTTTAGATGATTTTATGATTTTTATAGAAATGACTCTTCGCCAGGTTTTGCTTCTGATGCATTGACTTCATCGAAGGAAAAAAACTTAGTTCCAGATGTTCCTGCAACTGTAGCAGCGGTTAAGAATCCTACTTCAAAGATAGTCTATGACGAGTACAATCATGAGCGATTTCCTCCCGGTGACCCCAGCAAGCGTGCATTTGCTTATTTTGTGTTGACAGGTGGTCGGTTTGTGTATGCTTCTTTGATTCGTCTCCTTGTCCTCAAGTTTGTTCTTAGCATGTCAGCCAGTAAGGATGTTCTTGCCCTGGCCTCACTCGAGGTTGACCTCTCAAGCATCGAGCCTGGTTCCACTGTGACGGTTAAGTGGCGTGGAAAGCCCGTCTTCATCAGGCGACGAACTGAGGACGATATTAATTTAGCAAATAGTGTGGACGTTGGATCTCTTCGTGACCCACAGCAGGACGGCGAGAGAGTTAAGGATCCAGAATGGCTCATCGTAATTGGCGTCTGCACACATCTCGGTTGCATTCCCTTGCCAAATGCTGGAGATTATGGTGGGTGGTTTTGCCCATGCCATGGTTCCCATTACGATATCTCTGGTAGGATCCGCAAAGGGCCAGCGCCCTACAACCTTGAGGTACCCACTTACACCTTTTTGGACGAGAACAAGCTGTTGATTGGTTAAGAAACCGAGCTCGTTTTTCTGGGTTTGTAGTTGGAACCATCAATGATAATGTCGAAGATTTGTTGCAGACATATGTTTTTTTTCACTCGATTCCTTTGAGTTAATCTTGATGTAATGAGAACTCTGTAACTGTGGTATCTTGGTGCATGAATGGATCTTGAATAAGTTAACTGAATGAGTGAATAATACTACGAAGGAAAATGAAAAATGAACATTTTGGTGTGGTGGACAAGACATGCACATTCATATTTGATTTCTACTGGGCGGCTTCTTCTTGCCCTGTATGTGGAAGAAGTATCAATGTAGTGAGATTTTGTAATATTTGGTAGTATATTGCTAGTTGAAGTGGAAAATGGTTTTTTTTTTTTCAAATATATATGTATATATATTCTTGAGTGTTTCAGCTAGCTGGTGGTTTGAATTCATTCCTTCTTATTTTCCTTGTTATTTATATTGGTACTTAATATTATTATTTTTTAGGGATCATTGGTACTTATTGACTACTAGGTCAATTCACAATGGTTGATTTAAATATGGTTTTCTGTGTAGAATTTATGGAATTGGAATTAATAATAGAATAGGACTTAGTAGTTCAACCTATGGTGGTCACCATTTCTTGACAATCAATTGTAGTATAGCTAGATGGTTGTTTTGTGAGAATAATCAATTTAAAAATTATAATGATAGATTAAAACACTTGTAAATGATAGAAATTATGTGGGTAGACACAAGATTAAAAGTAAATATAAAAAACTTATATTCAAGTTAGGGTTGAATTATACAAAATATCCATAACATATGTGGCTAGTTTCAAATTTTCACCCTCAAATTTTTTTTAATTTGTTTCTATTAACCCTTTAACAGCAATATCTGTTAAAACGTACAACACATGAACACAAGCAAGATTGAAAACTAACTACAGGTATTAGTGCTATTTTGTATTATTTATTTGGTATTGATTTGGACCATAATATACCTATTTGATTTTACCATTTGTCCCTTCGTTTTGAAAGTTTAAATATAATTAAAAATTGTAGTTAGGGTCTTTTACTTTTTGCAACAAATTAAAAGATGGAAGAATATATATAAAAGATATAATTATAAAAAATATTTAAATAAGTTTAAAATTATTATTATTATTATTAAAGATATTTTATTGATATATATTTTTTTAAATTGTCAATTGTTTGGATACTGTGGAAATATCGATTCACCATTTACAGTTCGTATCAATGCTGTGCAAATTTAATACCCTAATTTTTTTTGAAACAAAAATTTAATGCCCTAAATTTTTTTTTAGGATAATTTAATACCCTAAGTGAAACTAGATTAAGTGCATTTTGTATAATTTTGCAATAAAATGAAAAGAAAAAAAATGTTCCACGCCTTAAGCAAAAAGGGACCGGGGGTCAAAATTCTGTAAGCTTCATATACCTTCGAATTCTGTCGCCTCCTCCTCCCTCTGAATTCTCAACACACCTCGAAGCTCCGATTCCCAAAACATTTTTCACGACGGAAGCTTTCGATTTGTAGACGAAGATGTTGAGGATTGCGGCTCGAAGGCTCTCTTCACTCTCTTCTTCCCATTTTAGGCCCACTCTCGCTTCTTCCTTCTCCGGTTCTCAGAAGATCGCTGATTCCGCTGATTCCGTCCCTTCCAATGATTTCAGATCCGTCGCCTCCTTCAACACCTTCCCTTTCGGTCTTCACTTTGATCGTAATTGCAGAGGTTAGAGTCACTTTTTTTTTTGTCCTGAGCTTTTGTCGTTCTTGCCCCCAGTTGATTTATGGTGTCTTTTAGGGTTTGTTTTTGTCGATATGTGACGCGTTTTCGTGAAATCTATTGTTGAAGTAAATAAATAAATATGGATTTTTATTAAACAAAATGTTGAATCTAATCTTACCAGATTCAAATTCGAAGACTGGCTTGTTTATGGTGATTGATGTATAACTTCATTGAATCGTCTATTTTGGATCAGCTTTTGCATATTAGTTTCTCGTTTTGAAAATAATTTCAAAATGTGATAGTTATTACTGTTACGTCGGGGCGTTTTAACGATGTCACTTTACCGAAGCAATTGTTTCTTCTTCGTTCATTTCTTAATCTTCCACTGTTTTATTTTCAGACTTTAGCTTTATTTTTTGTCGTTTATGTTATAATCACTGAAAACTATACGATATTATTCATCTACTTTGTTGCTGATTCTTCTAGTACAGAAGTTTTGGCGTGAGTGAGGTTATATCTCATCCTTTCTAAAGGAGATTAAAATTATTCAGTTTAGCGTTTCCCATAGTTCCTGTGCTTAGAAAGTTATGTATTGTTTCTTTTAAAAACTCACCAATATCAATATGGAATCCCCATCAACAGATTATTTGTTGGGCGTTGAGGTATAGTTTATTGTTGTTGAAAGAGTATAGTTCTGGCAGATTATAGCTTTTTCCTCCTTTTCGGGATAGAGAATGTCTGTTGTGGGATGTTTTGCTTGAGAGGAATAGCAGATTCTAGAGGGGGTTGAGAGGCCTTGGGAGAAAGTTTGGGATATTATTACATTTAATTCCTTCAAGTGGTGTCGGCATCAAAGATTTTTTGTAATTATCAGTTAAGAGTTGTTCTTTTGGATTGAAGATCCTTTCTATAGGCAGGTCTTCTTTTGTCAAGCTTGTTTTTTTGTATGGCATTTGTTTTTTCTTTCATTTCATCATTTCATCTTAATAAAAGTGCGAGTATAATTGTTATCTACTATGTTTAAGCCCTTGTATTTTTCTTTCTTTTTATTATTATTATAAGAAATAAGAGATTTTGTATTCACAAAAAAGAACAGCCTAGGGGGCAGGAGGTGGGAGGAATCCCTTCCAAGGGAGCAAACAAGATTTAGCTTGCAGTATTTTATATTTTTATATCAGAATATTTTTAATGAATTAGTTTGAGATTAAGTATAAGAAGGTATGAGGATAATTGATCCTCTTACTTGAATGAAACAATGAAGTATTAGATTTAGAATAAGAAAAAATCAAACCGTGCCCCTAGAAAAACTGCATCATGCCATTTCTTATGCAAAAGGAAAAAATAATCCTTTATGAAATAACTTCAAAGTTTCTACTTTTTTTTTGAACAAGAAACAAACTTTTCATTGATTTAATGAAAAGGAACAGAAAATTGTTCAATGATACAAACCTCCGAAGTAGTGAGAAAATAAACAAAACGGAAAACAGAACAACAAACTAAGCAAAAAGAACAAAAGCTAAGGGGGAGTTATAAAAACCTCCCAATTAGAACAAATCATACTCAGAGAGTAATTAACAAAAACATTGGAAAGAGCACACCATTGGGAAGCCTTAAACTTTGCTAGGAGGATCTCGACGTTTCCTCTTGAAAAGCCTCTGATTTCTCTCGAACCAAATATCAGACAACACAGCTTTGACTCCATTACACCAAAGAAGACCCGCCTTTGACGCGAGACACAGGCCAATCAACAGAGAATGAACGTTCTTTGCGACTTCGAAATCAAAAACTCAAGAAACCTCAAAGATCTCGAAGAAAAGCCTCCAGCAAGTAGTCGAAAAAGAGCACCGAAAGAACATATGTTGCTGGAACTCACAAGACTTTCCAGACAGAGAGCAAATGGAAGGAAAAAACACCATAGAAGGGTTTTTCTTTTGAAGAATATCCACTGTATTAACTTTGACAAAGAGGAGAATCCAAGTAAAGACATTTCTACTTTAAAAGATTGGAAAACTTTAATCCTATTCCTTGGGCCCTGAAGATGAATTTACTTAAACTAACGTAGACAATCCTTAAATTTGCTCCAAAAATCAGGCAACATAAATTGAGAAAGATCAATTTCATGATGCTTTTATTATCTTGTGAGCTGACCTTTTAAGCCCCTGTAATATACATTGAAACCACTTGTTTAAGTAATACAACAACTAATTCAGATCAAAATTTTTTAAGATGCTTATGCCAATGTGGAACTGCTTATCAGTTGTTTTGTATACAATCTTGCAAAATTGACTGGCCATTATGGCTGACCTTTTTGGTTATGGATGGTTTTGCAGATCCTCCTTTATTCACAACTAGTTTTACAATCAAATGTTATAGTAAATTCTCCTCTATGTACTTGTACATTACTAATTATGGAGTTTTACTTCCTATCTCTGTATGAAAGTTGACAATGTTAGAAATAGTGGCAAGAAATCTATTAACACACTGGAAATGGTTTTGTATCTGATGCTTATTAAACAAAAAATTGCAATTATATCGTTCTTTATCAATTACCGATTGATAACCACTTGGTTTTAGCTTTTAGCTTTTGAAAATTAATCTTATAAATATTAATTCCACCTAGCACTTTCTTTGTTTTGTTTTATACTTTTCAAAAATGTTTTCAAAATTTAAGTGAAAACTAAAAAGAGTAGTTTTAAAAAGCTTTAATTTTGTTTTTGTACTTCCACCTCGACCCTCTGCCTCTAGGCTGTTTTTCTGCCTTTTTTGGGCTCCTCTTCTTTTTGAATGAAATATTATTGTTTCTTATATAAAAAAAAAAGTAATTTGGCTGAAGATTTCAAAGGTTTCTTTAAGGAAGGTAAAAAATATAGTACAGAAATTGTGAGAAAAAAGTACCATTTTTTAAATTAAAAAACTACAAAATCTTGTGCATTCTGTCCAGATGATTGATTAGGTGATTGCTTTTCAATTTTGATTTGTGATTAAACACCTTATGCATGATTATTTCTTTCCACCATGGCGTGGTTTCATGATTTTATGGAAATGACTCTCTGTTAGGTTTTGCTTCTGATGCATTCACCTCAACGAAGGAGGACAGCTTAATTATGGATATTCCTGCAACTGTAGCAGCTGTTAAGAACCCTTCTTCAAAGATAGTCTATGACGACTACAATCACGAGCGATTTCCTCCGGGTGATCCTAGCAAGCGTGCATTTGCTTATTTTGTCTTGTCAGGTGGTCGGTTTGTCTATGCTTCCTTGATTCGTCTCCTTGTTCTCAAGTTTGTTCTTAGCATGTCAGCCAGTAAGGATGTTCTTGCCCTGGCCTCGCTCGAGGTTGACCTCTCAAGCATCGAGCCTGGTTCCACCGTGACTGTCAAGTGGCGTGGAAAGCCAGTTTTCATCAGGCGACGAACTGAGGACGATATTAACTTAGCAAATAGCGTGGACATTGGATCTCTTCGTGACCCACAGCAGGATGAAGAAAGAGTTAAGAATCCAGAATGGCTTATCGTGATTGGCGTCTGCACACATCTCGGTTGCATCCCCTTGCCAAATGCTGGAGACTATGGTGGGTGGTTTTGCCCCTGCCATGGTTCTCATTACGATGTTTCTGGTAGGATCCGCAAAGGGCCAGCACCCTACAATTTGGAGGTACCCACCTACACCTTTTTGGAGGACAACAAGCTTTTGATCGGTTAAGAAACCAAGCTCTTCTTTTCGAGGTAATACAGAGGTCCGAGCGACCCCCAATTTTTATTTAAAAGCAGATAAATGGCAAAGAATCTGTTTGCAGACCTGTTTTGTTTCTTTTCTCCTCAAATTCCTTTGAAATCTTTATGCAATGAGAACACTGTAACTGTCATTGCTTGGTGCATGAATGAATCTGAATAATTTGACTGAATGAGTGAAAGGTATAGATTAGATGATGAGATACCCATACTGTTGAGAAACTGGGAACATTAACATTCAATTTTGATGTCGTATCTGTATGATTCATGTGTTTGGAAATTGTTGTACAAGTTCCAAAATTGTTTGCTTTCTTTCCAGAGGAATGTTGGAGTGATTACTAATTGAGTTTGAACTGCTAGAAAAAGGTAGAGAAGTGGTAACAAGGAATGATTATTGCTCAAAAATGCCTTTGACATAGACCATGCCTTTTTCACTCAACTGAAGCTCCTTTCTCATAAGCTCTACTTGTTGGTCATCTCCTTGAACAATAATCTCTGCAAGCTTTCCACCTTCTGCAACTATCATTTTGACCTTTATCTCCTCCCTTCTTGATGCTTTCACCCAGTAATATGCTCCTCTGCAGGTTTCACAACACCTTCACATTAGCTTCTCAGGTACTCTCAATTGTCATGTTTCTCAATCTCAATTTGGATCTGAGAACCAACTAATTCATTTTGTTTCTACTTCAAAAAGTTGATTAATACTTTTTGGTTCTAATGGATATTTTTAAAATCTCTGTGTTTTGTATTTTACTCTCTACTTCTGGAATCCTAGTTTTTTTTTTTTAATTATATAAAAAAACAGATAGAAACAGATAGATTTTGAATTTGATAGTTGTTGAAGTTTTGTTGTACTTCTAAATTGGTAACAGGGACCTTTAGGATATAATAATTTTTAATTATTGTAGTTTAAAGTTTGTAATGATTTGATCCAATTAAATCTTTTATATAATAAAAATTGACACTTAATTTTAAGTTATTATATACTAAAATTTAGAGATTAAATTGTTACCGTACATGATTAAATCGTGTAATAGTATAGGGACTAAAAAGTATTTCTCAACTTAAAAGTTGATTTTTTTTTTTAATTATTATTATTTTTTACGGAAGTTACTTGAACTTCTAAACATTACCGGGTCAGGATTCTGGTTTTTTTCCTAATCTTTACAAAATGATTATAAACAGTCGGTAGAAAATGTGGCAGTACAATTTAGATCTTGGTGACCTTGCAATTTGTTTTAAAGTTTAAAGATTAAAATGAAATTTTAAGAACTAAACAAAGTCTTACCCAAACTTAGTAGAATTTATTCCTATATTGTAAAATGTAATTCTATATACGGTATTTGTTTATCATATTTTAAATGTTTTTAATATTGAGTTTAGGATTAGATTATGAACTTGATCCTTGGAGGTCCATTAAACGATCCAAACCCACCAAAATAGGGCCTGGAAAAGCTTAAGTTTGAGGCCCATTATAATTTGGGCCAGAAGCCCAAAGTGATCCAAAACTGAGTCCATCGATGAGTTGCAGAACTTACGCTAGGGGACTGAGGCTGCTAATCCAGAACCAGTTGTTGCCGAAATCTGGAAAAGTTATGGTGAGGACGAGGGCGACGCTGGCCAGGCTAATGCAAGTACAGAATGTCAGCAATGCCGCTTGGCCTCGACTCGGCACCATCGCTCCTTCAAATCTTCACATCAATCAAAACCTTCGCTTCGTTAGTTGTTAGGTAATTTCTTCTTCGCCATTAAACTGAAGATGATGAACAACACTCACAAAATAATCTATGAGAATCGGGTTACGTACGTTATGGTTTCGCCTCTGTCCGTGACTTGGAAGTTGTTGCGAGTGAAGAATGACAAGATCTCTCCGGCGATCTGGCTCGGCGCCTTCTTCGATTCTCCTTCGGCGACGAATGTCTTCTTCACAACCTAAAACCGATGCGAATGCGATTCGTAATTCAATCCATTACCGATGGAAACAGAGCCAGAGCCAGAGCCAGAGCGAGGAATTGAAATTGAAATTGAAATTGTATGTGGATTAAGAGAACCTTGGATTTGACGGATCGCTTGATGAGTGACCACAAGCCAGGGACGGAGATGACGAAGAGGCCGAGAGAAGTGTAGTAGCTAGCCATGGAGTAGCCGACGGTGTCAGCGAGGAAGAAGGCGGAGTTGTGGTGGTCCAATTGGAGAGCGAGGAGCGGCTCCGCATTGACTCTCACCGTTACCGATCTCTGCGGCCTGACGAGAGTGCGAGGTCCGGGGAGGCATGACGGCGGAGGTAGGTCTCCGGTGGAGAAGGATTTAGGGGAAGGAAGAGGATGGAGGTGAGATGGTAGTAGCTTGGTTGCTGCCAAAGCCATAGGTGTCCGTCCGGCAGAGAAATGGAGAGTAAGTTTTTCTGAAGAAGAGGGACAGCCACATCCACAGCCACAGGCAGAAGACAGAAGAAAAGAAAAGGATAAAAAGGTTTGGTTTGTGAAGTGAGAGGTGGCTGACGCGGCTACCTCATCTTGTGGTTGCCGTTACCTTCCCACACAAAGGTAGGCTCGCTTCACTCGAGCCAACTCCAAACTCACTCACACGGTCTCTCTCTCTCCCTCCCTCCCTTTCTCTCTCTCTCTCTCTTTTTTTTTTTTGTTTTGGAAAAAAAATTTAGGGTTGGGTAAAGGGTTGGTATTAGGGTCAAAATTAGTATCGAGTAAAAAATAGTTAGGCGCGGCCATCATGGTTTGATCCTCTAAGTCATTTGCTATTTACATGAACCCTTATTGATCATTAAATCATATTATGATGGTTGAAAGTCAGAAACATTTATTTAGAAATCTATATCCAACCTTTTTCTATAATAATAGTTAAAGAAAATTAAGATAGAAAATTAAGATGAGGGATGAAGATGCAAGATGTAGGACAAATGAGAGTAGAACTTTTCTGAAAAAAAAAGAAAGAATAGGACTTTTAAATAACTATATGCGAGAGAATCACAATTTTTTTTACTCACGATTATTTGGTCGTACATAGTTGAACCTGAACGTGGATAGGAAAAATCATATTTACTGTAATTAATAGTAATAGCATGGAGGCATTTTGGAGTTTTGTTCCAATAATTTCAAGCATGCTTTTAGATCATGATTAATTACTTTTATCATCTATATGTCAAATGTACACCACTTATCTCATATCATTAGACAATTCTTAAAAATTATGTTTTTCCAACTGCTATAAAATTAAAGAAAAATTAACAAATATGTGGGTGTATATGTAAGCACATCATTTTTTTTATTAAAGCCACCAAGAGTGTTTGTTTTCGAGGACTTTTTTTCCTAAATTATAATTTACTAAAAAGTAAACAAATAAATTAGATTGGTTGGACCGTCAACGTGAGCATAATTAAAAAGAAGGCTACATTGACTCCAATTAATCTTACTAAACTAAACCACGAACAATCAAAAGGAATTGTCAACTTGAGTGAAATCCTCACTCTTACATGTTGTATTAAAAAAATCAAAAGAGAATTTCATAAATAATAATATATTTTTAACACGAACAAATTAAAGACTAAAAATATATTTTTTTATCATTCACTGTAAACTTAGATTCAATTGGGCTGTTAGAAAGAAAAAAAAAAAACTCAATTTGGTGTGAAGTCTTAGTAATACCAAATATCTATTATTCCTAGACTTTTTAAGAAAATAGATAAATAATATGAATACTACATTGATTTGCTTACATATTTAAACAATGATAATGAAAACTTTTAGTGATGTGAAAATTTTACCCTAGAAAGTACTTACATTCTAAGGATTTATAAAGTCAAATTTATTGTCTATCATTGTTATTAAAAGGTTTAGATCTCTTTTAATAAATACAATAGTCAGCCAAAATGTATCCAATCATTTTCTCAAAAGACTTCCAAATGGAGAATTTTTTAAAGTTTGACCTTTGAGGAACAAATAGAATACATCTCTATATTTATTAGATCAAATCTTCTCTCATTCACCATCTAATGTTTTAAATTGTATTAAAATACATCTTTGTATTAAATATAACATAAAAATTGAATAAGAAAAAGAATTCGATACTCCAATATTTTGATCGATAATATATGTATTGAATTATGTTCAAAATTTACTACAACATCATTTAAGAATAATGACACTAAAATAAACTAAAAATTAAACTATAAATTTAGTTTTGAACTTTGATACTTGCATCTATTTAGTTCTTAAACATTAAAAAGCTAAGTTATCATGGATCACGACTTTTAATTTTTAATTCTTATAAATCTATGTTGGGGACAATACATTTTAAAATTTTTTTTGGCTAGTTCATTAACATTTTATCTTATTAAACTAACCTATTTTCTTATGTACTACCATGCTCAATTGTCACTTTATCAGTTCCATTGAAATGCCACATAAACGTTCAAAGTAAGACTTGTTAGAACCAAAATTGAAGATGAAGAAAACCACAACTAAAGTTTAAAGATTAAATTTATAATTTAATCTAAAATAAATTTAAAATTTAAGGATAAAAAATAAATAAAATAGGTTAAATTACAAGTTCAGCCTCTAAAATTTAGAAAACAACTAGTATGTCTTAAATCAAATTTCACATATTAATAGGCTAAAAATCATTTTTGGTCCTGCACTCTCATTGAAAGATCGAGTTAGTCCCTAAATTTAGTTGGTAACAATTTAGTCACTCAGCTTTAGTATATAAAAGTTCAGTCCTTGTAGTTTAAAATTTGTAACAATTTAGTTATTGACATGAAAAATGTTGTTAGTGTTTGATGAGTTTTCTTATATATGTAACCGATAAAATGTGTTTATAAACTACAAAACCTAAATTATTACATAATAAAAATCAACACTTGATTTTGATGAGAATTTTCATATAAGGAACTAAATTGTTACAAAATTTGAACTATAGGTACATCCTAAATTGTTACATACTAAAGTTCACGAACTAAATTATTACAAATAATTTTGTGGCCATTAAAAAATAGATAATGATACCATAAATTTACTAAGTGTTTGAATAGTGTTTTGTTTGTCACTGTTTTTTTACATAAATTAATTTTTTACTTCATGCTATATATAACATGGAAATATACCCATAAAGTTTTTAGGAGTGAAAGAAAAGATAAAAATACCAAATAACCTTGTGTACGTTTCTTTTTTTTACTAAATGGTTACTAACAAAAATAAAAAAAATTAAATTGTAATCCATTTAGAAATATAAAGAGTTAAATGTAAGAGGAAATATAGGACTTTATAAGTATTAATATAAAAAAGCCAAATATTATATGTACCACAAAGATGGAGCCGAGCCGAGCCGAGCGGAGTCGATTGCAAAATCCTCACAAGTTAACGGTTCCGAACAACGTCTGATCTCTGTCTCTCTCTCTCTCTCTCTCTCTTCTTCTTCTTCTCTCTCTTCCAATGGGCATTGGGTCTCTGTTTCAGTGCCTCTCTTTGTCTCGAACTTCAGCCTCCACAGCACAAATATATCCCATAACTCCAAACCCTATCTCTCACTCCTTCCCCCTTCCCCTTCCCCTTCCCCTTCCTCTTTAGCTTCGCTTCATCACCGATTGCATTTTCTCCTCTTCTTCCCACAATTTCTCATCCATTTTTCACTCCCACTTTTTCCACTTGGGAACATCCGAGGTATGTTCTATTTCGCTTGCTAATCTCAATCTCTCTATTTCTTTCTCCTGCTCCGATTATTGGGTTTTTGTTTAAATTCTGGGTGGACTCCTTTTTCTTGTTGTTGTCGTTCTTCTTCTTCTTCAATTGCATTGCCATGCCTCTTATGGCGGCCCTCGTCCTTCTCTCTTGCTGCGGAATTGATTCTCTGTTGTGTGCTGAAAAAGAGGGAGGTGACTTTTGTTTTGTAATTTTCTAGGTTATTTTCATGGGGTTGTATTGTTTGGTGGTGTTTTTTTTTTAGTATTTTTGGTACTATGAATGATTATGCATGCTTTATGTATTGTTTCTAAGTGGAGGATGGAGGGCCCCCTGCTCCCTTGTGCAGCCTTTCGAGTTACATGCGTGGTCGATTTCTGTGTAGAATCGCTGTAACTGGGCACCATTTAATTAGCTAAAATTTGACTTCAATTGTTTATATACTCACCCTGGGGTTATAGACAATTGCATATCCAATGGTTGTTATTATTATTTTTTCTTTTTGGAACTGTTAAATCCATGGTTTTCTTGCAGAAAAGTGAATTTTAGAAATTTGAAGTTTCTCTCTATGTTTGTTCAAGTGAGTTTTTCTGTACTTAGTGTGTACTCAATACTTGTTTGGTGTATAACCATTTTGATTGACACGGCACATTAAAGTGATATATCATTTCTTTGCACTGAAAATTGGAAATTTCAGCGATCGTTAGATCAGGGGCTAGTGGCTGCCTGAAATTGGATGTTTCATTTTAGCAGTAAACTGAATTTTAAATAATGTTGTCAATTGAATTTATGTTTCTCTACTTAAGGTTGTCTATGGCTATAATATGTTATCTTTATGACATGCAATGTTACGCAAGCGTACTTAAATTATTAAAGAATGGTACGATTCCAGGAATGATTTTGAAGAAACTGTTCCCTATTCCTGAAATTAGTTTTTGGCGCTGGCTGCTGAGGCTTTATGATTTTACTATGTCGAAAAATTTATTAATTGATTCATTTCTTCAGGCCTCTCCAACAATCTCACTATGTGATAGTATGTTGATTTGCTGCAACTCATTTTGATACTTAACTAATGGCGGCCAATCAACGGAGGAAAAGATTGAGTTCTGCCAGTGTAGTTGGTCACAGTTCAAGAGAACTATATAGAGTGAAAAAAAAGAATGTTGCCTTGACACACAATGATGCAAAATTAAGTTCCCATATTACTCTGGAGTGGGATGGGAGTAAAAGAAGAGTTGTTCCTAAAAGGGAACAAGTTGGCATAAGTAGGAGAAATTTGAGACCATTTGTTGATTCGGTTTCTAACGAACACACTATCTTAGCTGACGTTTTTGATGTCCCTCATGAGATTTTTGAGTTGGAAAATTTATCAGAAGTCCTTTCACATGAGGTAGCTATATTTCTGTGGTTAGACCTTGTTATCTGTATTAAAGTTAAGTTACTACTTTCCCTTCTTTTTTGCTCATTTGGCCTTGAATTTATTACAGGTTTGGCAGACATATCTTTCAGAAAATGAAAGAAACAATCTGAGGAAGTTTCTTCCTGGAGGACAAGAAAATGAGACAGTTGTGGAAGCGTTGTTTTCTGGGGATAATTTTCATTTTGGAAATCCTCTTGTTAAATGGCAAGTATTTCCTTCCAAATTATTGATTTAATAATAGATTCCTAATTACAAAATTTTCCTTTCTTTGATATTTGCTTCTTATCGAAAAGAGAGAGAGGAGGGAAAAAAAGCACAGTGTGTCAGACCTTGGCAGGAACAAGGGTGATTCATGAATGGGCTGGTAAAGAAGAGCCTCAAATCATGGGTTCTTCTTTCAGTTTAATTTGTTTCAGATTCTGCTGATTAAAGTTTGGAATTTTGTTTCTCATCTTCTCTTCCATCATTTTGTGCTACGTATTACTTTATCTTTCCATCCAACTTAATTATATGGCAAGGGATAAATTTTGAGCGTGATAAAATTTCTTGTGAGGAATATTGATGGCTACGTAGTAACTGTCGTATTTATATGAATATGTACTTGCAGGGAGGCTTCACTTTGCTCTGGTGCCCTTCACCCTGATGCAGTTCTTCAGCATGAACAGTGCTTAAGGACAGATAAAAAAGCATACTCCCATGAGTTACAGAAGTACCATAACAAGTAAGAAGTGTACTTACTGTTCGATCTGTTAAATTTCCATTTATAACTTGATGATTTCAACAATGTTTTCTTAATTTTTTGAAATATCACTATTTTTTGAAATATCACTATTTTCTGTTTGCCTTTTAGTGGTGTTTACTTTAAATGAAGCATGCGGTTGCTAATATGAGTTCCTACTTTTTGCAGTATGATTGGATATCTGCAAAAACTGAAGGAAAGATGCACAAACTGCAAAGATCCGGAGAAGGAAATCATACATCAAACATGGAGGTTGATACCTTTTCGTTTTCCTTCTTTCACACTCATAATTTTAGACCTTTCTGCTCCTAATAGAGTTTGAAGATCAGCTTGGATACTATTCTTATTATTGCAATGAAGAAATTTATAGCTGACGTATAGAATTGCTTCAACTATTTCTCTTTTTAAAATAACTTTTTCCCGATTCATTACAAATTGAATGACCCTTTAGTGTTTAGTTTTTATAAAGGAATAATCTTTAAATACATATAGTTGATTTATCTTTGTAATTTTTCTTTATAGTCTTCCTCACATAACTTGAATTTTTGAGGATGGTCAAGGTTGGCATTTGATGATTAATTTTGAAATGGGAAAAAGTTAAAGTAGCAAACCTTTTAATTTAGACCCTGCCAGTTGTGTCAATTTAAACAGAATGCCAAAAATTTTCTTATCCGACTAAAAGGTGCAAGATATTTTGTCAATTTAAAATATATATAACCATGCATTTTTAGATCTTGTCAGTTTTATTCTGTCATCTCACGAATTAAAGTGCTTTCATAATATTTCTCGCTCTCTTTTGTTAAATTAGTGCTCCAATTGTCCTTTTCCTTTTTTTTTGGAGGGAGGGGTGGTTTGGGGAGATCTTTTATTTTATCGGGAAAGAAAATGTAATAAATACAGAATGCAAACTGTACTTTAAGCAGGTCAAGAAATGCAGAAAAGAGAGTCTCCACCCTAGTGAATGAGTCCAGATTTGACTATCACGAGGATGATGATACAGCTACATCAGAATCTGGTTCGTGGGGTTCAGAGGAGAAAGCATGTAGCAGTGATAACCAGACTTCTTTCATGAAGGGTAGAGTGTTTTCAGAAAGGTAACTTAGCATTCTGGAATATGCATGTGGAATGCTAACCCGTGTTTTATATAGGCCCCGTGTTTATGAATCATGCAGGAATGATGTCATAAAAATAGCTGCTTTGGATGAATCTAGTTATTGGTTCTTCATATAATTTTTATCCATATCTTTTATGAGTTAGTGGACACTTGTCTGGTCTATCCACCTTTCCTTTCAATTAGAGATAGGTTCTTTATGGTGTTACGATGGGTTTCTGCTCTAAGTTGTGAATAGGAAGTATAGGTGCACGTCATGTTCTCTTGAATAATCTGTATTTGGAAGTAATTTCTCAATATTCAATCGGGGTTGTTCAGGATGTGCAATAAAGGATACAAGCGAGACAGATGCAGAACTTCATCAACTGCTTTAGATGACATGCTCAACGTGGGAACGAGACCCGAGGACAAGTTACAAAAACGCAACTTACAGTGCAGTGATGGTTCCAAATATATGTCATATTGCAAGGTTAGGTGATGTTTTGTGACTTCATGTTGTATATAACCTTGGAGTAAATATACTACATACAACAGAATAGTATTTTTATGAAGCATGGACACATTAATTTGGGTTTCATGTTCTTGGTCAACACATTTGACACGTACACTTCGGCAGTTGTTGGACATGTGTCGGTAGCTTGTTAATCACAATAGATGTGTGTGAAAGACTTGTTAAATAAATTGGATACATGTCAGACTCTTGTTGTATATGTGTTGAACACTCTTTTAGCATAATAGACATGCATTAGAGGCTTGTAAACATAAGTTGAAGAATTTCTGAACACTTGAACTGAAGTGTTCAAACATTTACTTGTATTTTTTGCTCAAAATATCAACCTTGTTTCTTTTAGATGTATAGATATTTTCGTATTTTCTTGGAAATTGTACAGTTTACAGCCTCCTCTTGAAGTGATCTTTCTTCATAGGAATTTTTGTAATTTTTCTACAACTAATTTGGATTCGGGTCTTCTTATATAATTTTGGTCTGCCTTTTTGGGATCTCTTACTCTTCTGATGTAGGACCCTGTTTTATCATTTATCTATGTTATGACGTTATCTGTTTCCTATGAAAAGAAGAAAAGATTAGAGTGTTTAGAGTGTTTGTTTGTTTAGTTCCCTCGAGTTTCTTTAGCTTTCTTATCCACCCACCAACCACACACACGAAAAAGAGACTTTTGTTCTATTTTTAAATAAAAAATTCATCTTATGTAAACCAAGTTTGATTTCTGAATGTTGACTTTAAGCAATAATATAAATTTGCTGAATAATATATTGGAGAGGGTGTGGAACTCTGTTGTCAGTAGATATTGAAATTAGGAAATATCATTTTCATGTTGGTCAGAGGGATTTAAATGGTTGGGTGAGTGATTTTGAGGTAGAATAAAGGAATGCTGGGAAGTAGTGTTTTCTGAGTTGTGAGTGAGAAATATCACTTGAATAATTTAAATTGTATACCTTAAATTGGGAATTGACATCATATATATAAGCTTAAGTTGGGGTTCTCGTGACTAGAAAATGCAAGATGTAGGATGTCCAGAGGTCATGGGACGTGGGACATGAGTCCTTATCTTCCTTCCAAAGGTATGCTTGTCTGGGGATGCGGTTAAGAAGAGAATGTGGTTGATGACTTCTTAAACCAATCAGTTGTGAAGACATAGTTGTAGCCAACCTAGTTTTAGATGTGTTGAGATGGATGGGTTTCTGGGTCTCCGAGTGCCCGCTTGCTTCGCTTGGCTTGACACGTCTTTACTATGAGGAAGCAAGGATAGATTTCTCACATGTGGTTTCAAAGTTTGTCTGAGTTGAGAGGACTGAGACTTGGAAGTCTCATCCGTGCAAGACAACTATGTTAGGTGTCATGGATTTTGGCCCATACATATATTTGATTTTTTTCACTCGGCAATACTCTTCCTGCAGCTTCATTGTTCTTGTCATTAGGATTTATTACTCGAGTATCTTCAACCTTTGGTTTGAGAAAGTTAGCGAAGTTATAATGCATCTCTTGTTTACACATTTCAGATCAGTAAGAAGCAGCATGACCTCGTGAAGAACATGAAGCAATCAGGATCCCTCCACCAAGTTTTAGGTGACATCAAAGCTTTTAATGTACAGCCATACGAAGTATTTGTAGAGGAAGAACGGAAGAAGTTGCATGAGCACTGGTGAGAGCATATGTAAAGTAACACTTTTACATTTATACTAAATATCAAGCTTCATTCGTCTCGCTCATATCATAGTTTCTTGGCACAGGTTGCAATTATCAAAAGTTCATCTCCCAGTTGCATATGCAAATTGGAGAGAGACTCATTTACAGAGACGGCAAATAACCAAGGCCTTGGAGCAAGATCTGAAAGATAGACAAACATTACTGATGGTGCTTAACAATTCTGCTTCTGTTCTTTATTCTCTTTCATTTATTTTCTTTTCTTTCCTGAAGTCTTTGGCCATCGTCATATGAAATCTAGCTAGTTCTTAATTTATCAGTATTTTTTCCGGTTCCTTCTGCGGCATTGTCTTTTTAACATCTTGACCTGTAATTGAGGGTTTAGGATGTGGACACTGAAAGCCATGATAGCATGCGCCAAGAACAAATGGATACTGAAGAAGCGGATCAAATGGATATGAGCCGTACAACCAGTGAATCTGTTGAAAAATCTATTTCTGGCTCCCAAAGTAGTCCGTCTTCAGAGCAGGTTAATGGGGAGCCGGAGATTGACAGCAATTTGGATCCTGAAAGCCACAACACCCCAAATTCTGGTGATACTCATCTTGAAGAGTCTGAAATATCAAGAAACTTGAATGCTTTAGATTGCTCGGTCAGCCAGGGAGAGGCCCTGCATTCTATTGGTGATGTTCGCTCAGGACCAAGCATGCCAAAGAATTACTACAGCTCCACAACCGGCCATGATTATGCATCTATCAATAATTTGTCTCTTGCAAATTCTCATGCCGATGAAGAGCTAAAAACTCAAGTTTTCGATATTGAATCTGACTTGTCTGTCAGTGACATTAGTAAAAATTTGTTGCCTAGACGATCAGATGACGGCACTTTTGTGAAATCTGGCTTACATAGCAGAGATATTGGGAAAATTTTGTTGCCTAGACAATCAGATAATGGCACTTTTGTGGAACCAGATTTGCATGGCAGAGATATTGGCAAAAATTTGTTGCCTAGACAATCAGATAATGGTACTTTTGTGGAAACAGATTTGCATGGGAGAGATATTGGCAAAAATTTGTTGCCTAGACAATCTGATGATGGCACCTTTGGTTCTTATGAAACCCAAGGTAAAGATGGGTTACTTCACTCTGTGTTCAAGACACAAGGAGCGCTGCCCTTCCATCACAAGGAGAGGCACTCAGGTTTAGATTTCCAGCCATCAAACAATGACTTGATAGAAGAGAGTCAGTATTCTAGACATTTCCGGGAGCAGCCAGATTTATCCATGCCTTTGCCGCAACGAGGAAAGGAAGATGAGCAAGTTTACATGCAACATGGTGGTGTTCCTGAGAATATTTTTCCTGATGGCAACAGGTATTTGATCCCGGCACAGCAACAGTTGACCACAGTTGGAATGCAGGATTGGGCTGTCAATGCAGTTCGCATGTCTTCCCATATCCATTCTCATCCCATAAATGGTGCAAGTTTATTAGGCGAGAACTGGTTTTCGGGCGAACATCAAGTCCGTGGCGGGTTCACAGGGTCTGATAGCGTCATGGTCCCAAACCAGAGCATTGGTAGTGGAAGCATCAGCACAGATCAAACCTTATTCAGTGTTCTCTCTCAAGGCAATCAATTCCGCTCCCCTTTCTATGCAATGGGGTCAAATGGGCAATTCATTTCATCAAGGAACTACGGCATGCTGCGTGAAGGAAATCCCATGATCGGCAACATCCTACCTGAAGCATCCAATCCTCTCGACTACTTGGGGGGAGGGCATGAAATAGCATCCCAGGGTATGGGCTGGGTAGGAATGAGGCATCAGAATTCCAATTTGACTGATCCAATGGAGAAACCATATTTGAGATCATGGAATCAATGAGGAGAAATCTGTGGGAGAGACAGGGCCATGAGTTTGGCTTCAGTTGGAGCCTAAGATTTTCATTAGAAAGAGGAAGAAAAAGAAACAAATTGTGGAAGTTTGAAAGAGTGGTAGGCTGTTATACATAATACCAAATTCATCATACAAGAAGAGAAGCAAACCCAACACCATGTATATATCTAGATGTTAGATGGGCAGCTGAAACTGAAAGAGAAGAAGAAATTTTCAAGTTCCAGGCAAAAGTGCTTTTTCCTGGTAAGGTAAATTTTTGTAGCTTGTTCTTTTATCTTAACACTTCTCCTCTCTATTTTGTTTGTTACTTAGAAAGATATTTCAATAATTTTGGAGGCTACAAAGCCATCTGAGGCCAAAATGCTTTAAAGCCATGATTCTCCTCATTGTTTCCTTTTTATTTACCGTTAAGTTGATTGGTTTCCATGTGAGGTGATGTTAACAACTGCAGCCAGGTGAAATGAGTTCTATTTTGCTTGGTTTCAACTTTCAACCACTTGGTGAGAGGATCGATTCATGTATTGGTATTCATTTTTTTTTTTTGTTTTTGTTTTTCCGACAATAGTACATTAAATATGTGAGGGGAGGAAAGTCGAATTTACTATCGAGTGGGGATATTAATATCTAACTACTTTAAATTCGAGTGGGGATCAAGATTTGATAGATGTTTTAGAGTGCGTTATGTTGGTTATTTAAGAAATAGAAATATGAAAACAAGGTTATTTAATAAATAGAAATATGAAAACAAGATATTCAATGGGAAAATAATTGTATTTCATGTTTTTATTATTTTTGAATTTATGTTTGGTAGTATATCTAGAAATTGAATCCCAATTTAAAAACTTGTTTGAGGTGTATTTTGTAATATATTTGTAAATGGTAGTTATCAAATATTACGTTCAATCTAAAATATTAATTAATTTATTAAGATATATGTTATAAATTTTGTTTAATTATTATTTTATAATATTATATAATTTATAATATATTATATTTTATATGTTCTAATGTAACAAGAAATTGGATTCTTATCGAAGTATTTTGCATTTTAAATTTTCAAATTTAAAATCTGAAGCAAACCTGAACTACTTAGTGGTAATTGTTGTACCAATAAGCAAAAAAGGATTGTATAAATATGCCTTTATTTATACAAATTTACTGATTTTTTTTTTCAAATTTACTAAAAAAAATTTTGTTTTGAAATTCTATTATTGTTATTATTTTTGCTTATGTATGCCTTCTCACATAGACCTTTTTATACTATTATACGATAATCTTCAAGTTGTAGGTTTATTTTCTAATTATAAAAGTGAAATACGATTTTATTTTTAATTTTGTAATCTAATTTTCAACTCTCGTTTCTATATAATTGAAGCGGGAATGATATTTCATCCATGAAATGTTATTGAAGCTCCTGCAAGTTTGTTAAACGTATGATGATTGGATTATGATGAGTAACTAGCTAGAGGACCATTAGATGGATGTTCTTAAATGTTTATAAGTACATGACCACCAATAAAGCAAAACAATAATATTTAGATACTTTTCGATACCTACTTTAAGTACTTATCTCGCTATTTATTCTATTTTCTCTCTCTTCTTTATTTCTCCATTTATGCATTCATTTTTTTTTTGGTTAAGCGATCAGTAGAAAATACCTATCGATAAACACCTCAATATTATTTGGTGTGTTTCTGGAAGTCTCACTTGTCATCATTTACTGAAAAGAAAATGGCCAAATGTCATGCACTTTTTACTGCACCACTCTGTGAAAGGCAAATTCATTTATGCAGATTTGTGGTCCCTTTTCCTTGATTACTCTGCTCATTTGTTTGTTAGAATAATAATAATAATAACAAAAGCAAAACAATTAATTAAAAAATTATAAATCTCATTAATAGATTAGAGAGGGAGTAAAAGTTTTAAAGTAATTATAAAAGAAGTGTGGAGTGAGAATAA